ATCGGAGCGGATACACTCTGCTTGGCTGGGCAAAGCCCAGGCAGCTGCCAGCTTGGTGGTGAGGGCCACCCGCCCACTGTCCTTGTCTCCGTGACACGGGAAAGGCCCTTGCTACAGCCTCGTCATAGAAAAGTTAGACCTCATCTGATGGCCTTGTTAGTGGCTGAAGTAGTGTGCAGAGATTAACTTCAGGAGTTTTCTGGATGGAGAAGATGCCAGCGCAAGGGGTTTGTGTGCCTGGAGCAAACGGCCTTTGCTGAACCCTCACCTCAACTTGGCGCCAACGACTGCAGTAGACACCACCTGTTTCCTCTTGGGATTTATGAGAGCTGCAGTTGTGGCTCTGTAAGAACTTATCTACACTTAGATGGGCCTCCTGCTTACGTAGGTATCTCCTTCGCGCCCTAAATACAAACACTGCCGTGCCCGACAATGGGACACAAGTGCTGTTCTTCTGAAACTCCCATTTTCTCAGAACGTGAAGCGAATTAAATGTTTGACTCTCTCCTTCACCTTCTCTCTGGTAAGGATGTAACTATAATATTCATTAGTCAATGAATTTATTAACTTATCTGAACACGTCTGAGGAGTAGAATATTAATTACACAGTCTCACAGACGATACGTCGATGATTTCTGATTTAAGAGACTGAACACAAAGAATGGATGTTAAGGAGAACTGCGAACCCCACGCGTGCAAAAACCAGGGGAAAGTGTCTCCAAAACAGGTACTAGTTGGGTAGCAAGGTATTAGTTGTTAACAAGGAAATCAGTTCTGGTGCTGGAGTAAGCTCATGTTGTGAAGACAACCGCTGTAATCATGAGGATAAAAAAGGGTTCTTCCATTTAGACGGAAGTCACAATTTTTAGGTGCATCTGAATTAAAAAAACCTCTCACAAAACAGCATCAAAGATGACTCAGCTTAAGCACAGGAGCAGCTTTTTTGAACTCCCATGCTTTCAGCAGTGCAGGTGCACACTCGCTCTCCCAGAGAGACACATCTTCTTGAGGGAAGGCCAAAGCCCTTGAAGGACACAGCTTTCTTCGAGGTCTGCTTGGCAGGGACTCCTGGGCACCTTCCCACTGGAGCATTGACACAGCCTTGTCTTGGACATCCCAGCTGCCCATGCAGGCCAAGAGCCAGGCATTTAGGACACAATCCAAAGGTGCCCATGCAGGACAGGGAGACACCTACAACCGTCACGGCCAGTATGCAGATATCTAAAACCACGGTCCCCCTCATTTAGTGGTCCAGGAAGCCCATCTGCTCAGCTGAAATATTTTTGAATGGTGGTATGTATTTTCTTTGCCTTCAAGACATGAGTAGAGTTTGCTCTTTCCTTAAAATCAGGCCCAAGGCTAGGAAATTGTAGCTCATGTTGCTTACTTTGTGATTGCTGTAACATTTTCCCCAGGTCCTGGGAGCACCCTAGCCATATCTCAAGGTTTAGCTGGGCAAACACCAGGCTGCCAAGAAATGAACTCAACAAAAAGTTGTTCAGCACGTTCAGACCTGGAGGACTGTTGGATACATGGAAAGATCTTCTGACCCTGTAACTTCTGCCTGAGGTCCTCTCAGCTCTGTGACCCCAGGGTCATGCTCAAGCACGGAGATAAAAAGACGCCCACCAGTGCCACCAGTTTGGTAGGCATTTCTGCAATGAACTCCTGCCTATGGCCCAAGTCCTGCTTTAGGAACGTGAACCTGCATCGGATGTAGTCGAAACCTGTGCTTTTGCTGAACAGAAGCCTATAAATTAACAGGAATTTAATAATCACCTCGATATAATGGATTTATACGACAGTACATTTGTTGACATTTTGTAGATATTTTAATATGTATCATTTCAGTTCCTATTTCTTAAGTGACAGCAACTGATAAGAAAATATTAAATTATTCCCGCTTTAGCCCTGAACGTGGCCACCGCACCAGCCAAAAGCAGGTTCTGATGTGCCATAATGACGTCTCACAACGATCTCCTTTGCATTTACTCTGCGTGGTTACATCTGCTGAACGTCTGACCTTTCCGTGGATCATCCTGATCCACGCTGAGACACGGGTATAGAGAAAATTTCAATCCACCCAAAGGCCTTTTGCCACCTGCCACACAAGCACTGAAAATGAGATGCTAGCGACAAGGATGCAAAAAAGAGGAAAAAAAATTGTTTTTATGTGATTCGAGTTGTGTTACGCTTCACCAAACCCAAATGCGCTTTCTGTGCCGAGTTCTCCCCTTCCACCAACCTCCCCTTGGAAAAGATAAGCCCTTGAAGGACACTTAGCTGGAGCTAATTACCAGCCGCTTGAAAAGTAATCCAGGTTAAAATTTCTGCCAAGTAGACTCTTCTCCCAGAGGAGTTTTATCTTGCCCGATATAGAAACAATAACTCTCGAGCGACAAAACTTTCTGCGGCAGCTTCCAATGCGTCTCGCTTTACTCCCAAAGTAATTTTGCCATTTTTCCATCTTCTATTCATCTTTTTGCAGGCCTGCGCCTGCTTTCAAGGAGCTCAGCAAAGGTGAATATGGTATTTGACTAATAAATGCCATATCTTTTGAAAGAGCATTCCTTTGTCTAGTGTTTCTCCAGGCAGGCAGCACTGATCCCCTCTGCTTTTTCAAAGTCAAAATGTCAATTTGCGAAGGGTAAGAATGTCACTGTCACCCACAGTCTCGAGTGCCAAGACTCAAGCACTCAAGCACTGACTTTTAAAATAGAAAAGTTGCTATCAAAATTAATCGTTTCCTCCTTTTGGGGAACAATTCCTCCATCACCAGGAATCCTTCGCTTTGCCCTTTCGTAGGGATGAAATATTTGGCATTAGAAGAAAAGAAGAGGAATAAAGAAGATGAAAGCTCAAAAATGTTAAGGTCGACACCGGCCCGTTGGTTCTCAAAATAAAGAGTTCATCCAAAATAGATCCAAAACTGCAGCTTCCCCCTTAAAAACATGTTACGAAGCACAAAAGAACTCCTGAAAGCCCTTCCCTAAAATTCACAAAACTAACCTGAAAAAGCCTCCAATACAATCTGCACACAAAAGCAGCGCCTGGGATAATAAATTACCGTGTGACACACTAGTAATAATACAGCTTAAAATCGTAGATGTGAAAAGACAAGACTACGAAACGGGGAATGGCAAATCCTATGTGCAAATTTGGGTTGCTTGCTGCTAATGGGCTGGGGCGCAACCTTATAAAAGCTTCTGCGCTAACAGCAGCATGTTATTACTCAAACCAAAAATCCCCAGTTGCATGACCAATGTCTTCTTCCTTTCTGTTCATGTGGAAATCAATATAATCCAAATAGTAGCACAAAAAAAAATATATCTAAAATAATAATAATAATAATAGCACAAGCCTGGGATACTTGGGACCATCTCTGAGGCTGCTTAAGTTAATTCTACAACACTTCGTAAAAGACTTTGCATAAGCTGCAACTGGTATTAAAATGCCATGTTTTCAGCTGGTACTGACACTTAGTATATACATTTTTATATCTATTATATATTATATATACATATAAAATAGCTGTATATACTACATATATATATATATATATAGCTAGCTATCCACTGCTATAGCACTGTGTCCATTTGGCTTTGCATACTGTGCCCAAAATACCTCTTTTCTGGGATAGTAAAAGAGGCTGATACCCTCCTGCCTTTTTAATTAAGCTGACAAGAATTTTAGGGAACTTAGGCATTTGAAGAAGAAAACTTATGTGTTTGAATTGGGGTAGGGAAATAATATTCTAAATGAAAATGCAACCCTGGGGTGCCTTTTAGTACTTTAAAATAAATTAAATATGATTAAAAATGTATTTCAATTATCTCTCAAAGATCATGAAAAAGAAAATACTATCTTAATTCGTGGGTACTTTGCAATATTAACAAGTCTTGTCCAACAAACTAAGTTTCCAGGGATGTATATTTACTTTCTGAAACAAACAAACAGTTATTTTTTAATCAACTACCTAATTAGGGCTTCTCATTTTCTCTCCGCAGAAGTGCCAAATTCCTTTGTTGTACACTATTTCAAACCCCTCTGGTTTAATGAGAAGTTACTATGTATAACTGAAGAGCAATCTTAAATTTAGATGGCTGCAGACCACCGATTAGCAGTCACACCGAGCGCCTGACTTTGAGAAAACACCTATCCCCCTTCTTTAATGTGGTAATAATAATTAAAAAAAACACAGAATAAAAGTAAAACAATTTTTTATAGAGCAACTTTTAAACTACTTTTGCTTTTCAATCAAAATATATTCAATCAAATATATTCAATCAAATCAATATATTCAATCGAATATATTCAGCATCCCTCTGATCAGAACAAGTCCCTCTTCAAAAGCTTTATTGTAGGTATAGAATCAAAGTACAGACATAACAAAATTTTCCTATTAAAGACAAACTGTAGATCAAGAAAGTATGAAGAGTGGGTTTTTTCTGGAAATATTTTAAAATACGCTACAGCTCACTTCTGAAAGGAATGAATATTTATAGATATGTATATACTCGAGATGAATATATTGCTTCATATCAAAGTAGCTCTAGTATTCATTCAAAAATGACAAACTCGATTTCCCATTCTTTGTCTCCAAATACGTTTTGACTTTGTGAAAATGTCTCAGAAAGATCAGAGTTCTCTAAAGAAACAAATCATGTTCAACAACAATCCCCTTCACTACTTGAGCTTTCCAAGATCTGTAATTTCTCACCTTCAAATATTTCAAGAGAATTATTTCGCAATAAATTTTAAAGAAACAATACTTCCGTGGACTGAAACATTGCGATTAAGATGAACCTTGGGACCACCTGGCTCTGGGCACCAACCTGAGGAGACCCAGCTCCCTCTAGTCCTCCTGTTTTTATGGAGGGTGCCAGAGACAACAACTATTATATTGAGAAAAAGCAGGTTTTTTTTTTTAAATACAATGAAGTACCATCGATAAAAACGAGGTTAAGATTTTATGCTGACCGCAACAAGCAGACACTTACTTCGCTTTCGCTTCTGCATCTTCATAGGCTTTATTGGAAACGTCATCTAGGCCGCCAATCAGATGTTTGAAGGAGCTGTGAAAATAAAGGTACATTTTTAGAGGCAGAGTTTCCATTAGGGAGCCAAGGAAGCCAACGTGGCTCTGTGGCAGCAACCAGGCGCCATCCCTCGATGCCTGGGATGGCCACCACTGGCCAGGGCCAGGTATCTGCTGGGAAACACGGCCTCAGACACACTGGAGGAGGAGTCGAAATGCAATAACTAATGCCAAGAAGATCCAAACTTACTGATCCAGCTCTTTTAGGGACTGAACCCACTGAAATGACTGCTGAAGCTGGTCCTCCCTCCAGTATAAGTTTCAGAGTAAATCTGTCAACATGGCTGGTAAGTCCCATGATGGTGAGGTGCCACCACCATAACCCTGTCCTCCAACCAGAAACCCCAGAAATCCCTCTGCTTTCAGAGTGAAGGATAATCTTTATTTCTCTGTCTTAGCTTTCTCATCTTCAGAGGTACAGCAGCCAAAAACATGGCAAAGAGAAATAAAAAAGGGGGAAAAAAGAAAAGGAAAAAAAAAGCGAGGGCAGAAAGGCAAGCGAATTGTCATAAGCCAAACTGCTTAATGACGTTTAAGGGGAAATTTGGCTTTAACTGGGTTAAACTGAGTAAGACTGGGTGAAATGTTATGAGAGCCTGACACACTTGGTGCTGAGCTGTCTTCTCTACGAGCTTGAGCAGTCCCCTAATGCCATCCTCTGTCCCAGGGGAGATACAAAGGGCGTAGATGTATCGGAAAAAGAATTAGAAAATCTTTTTATATCATGAGTGACTCAAACAAATGGACCCAGTGACCATTTAATCAACTAACAAGCAACACTCCAGAGTATAAAAAAATATAACTGTTATGTCTTTGGAGTGATATTACGTAGTGTCAGAGTCTAAATAAGAAACAGAAATTATTCCCAGTGTGTTTGTCACATGTAGGTTTTCTTTTTTTTTTTTTTTCAAAAACGAAAGCACTGCTTGCAAAATGAGAGAAGAGCTAGGCTAATTTGAAAGGAAGAACTGTTACAAACTACTGCCTCTTGACTAGTCTCTGCCTTAAGGTCACAGCTTCAGAAATGAAAGTCCTGCGGTTCCTCCGGCTTCTGTACGTTTGTGACACTCCTGAGACACTAAATATAGAGCTGAAGAAGGGAAGTGGATATTAAGAAGTTGAAAAAAGAAAAAAAAAAAAGAATTGAAAAGTTGAAAAAAACCTGAAAAACAAATAATCACCATTTAAGGACCATATCTACAGATTGAGGAATAAGAAGAGAATATTTAATAGGGCCCTCTTTCAACGGAGGCTTTTAGGATGAAAGAGAATTAACGCGATTCAGCAGGTTAGGAAAATATAGAGCAGGTTAATAAAGGCAACGATGTGCGGGTTGTTTTCATTCCCACCTAAATCGCTTGGTGTCAGATCTCACGGCATTATATAGGATACCGAGCCGCAAACGATAAACCTACCGAGGGAAAAGCTCCAAGCCCCAGTTGTTTGTGAAAATACAGCCAGGAGCAGAATCCCTCCCCGCGCAGGGTGGCTGGGGGAAACACAACACCCTGTGACATACGAGGTTAACTGGGGTGACTTCGCGCCGCCTTTGGCCTCCAGCGCGATAGAGCCGCTGGGGTTGCGCCTGGCCCAAGCAGCTTAAACACGCCGTATGGTCTTAAGTGGGTACTTAAGTGTCCTGCTGCATCAGGAGATGCCTGACCCTACGCCAGGTACCCCGGGTGCAGGCGGAGAGCGGGGACGCGACTTCCAGAAGAACAAAAGGAGGCTTAATTATCGTGCTTTATGAACAGCAGTTGGAAGAAGCCATATTTTACCCGTTATCGTGATAAGAACGAGCAAAGAGGTGATATTCAGGAGAGGTATTTATACTGGTTTGTATCTAGAGCTGTATGGGGATTTTCCAGCATGGCCTTTTGCATAATTACAGTCATCATCGCTCCGGAAATATCCTCTGCCCACACATATTCCCCGAGTTTTCCACTTTGTTTAATTCATAATATTTTAAATGATACAATGTAGGAAATCATTTACGCAGCGCGGGGAAAGCAATAGGAACTCACTAATGAAGAAGGCAACGACCCCTTTGCTCCTGCGTGTGTTAGGGTTTTTTAACGAGGCAGGCTGTAATTTTCGATATTAAGACGTGTTAATCACCGGAGTGTGTTTTCGACCCCAAATTCCTAAATCAGCAGTGAAAATATGAAAAATTCAGCTCTTTCAACGCATCGAGGTTTATCTTTCTTGTGCTGAAGATGTGCCATAGGATGAAGTCAAACCCTTGAAAGACGACAGTGAAAGCAAAGCAAGATGTGTACGCTAATGCTCACTTGCACCCCTAACAGGTATTTAGGCAATTAAGCCAGACCCAGTAATACCATAATCCTTCTGCAACACTGTAAGACATGACCCAAGGCTTAAAATGCAATTTAAAATAGCTCAGCTTGGTTTGCTTTCACGTGGTTGGAAAAACCTGGCAGGGTTAAACATCCAATTTTGGGTTTTTGGCAATGCAAATATATCTTTGTTTAGTGAAACACTGCATGGGCAAATTAAAAAAAAAGTCACTGAAAGGGGTAACAACAGTTTATGTAGTATCCTTAATATCTTAAGCAAGACTTAGGACTGGGCAAGATACTGAAGTTGACTCGAGTCACTTTTTTATTACCTATCTCAACGCTGTTGAAGTACCATCTCGGTCACAACTTCCCCAAGAATTTAATCAGAAAACTGCTCTTTTTTTTTTTTTTTTTCTCCGCGTGGCCTTCTCTCTTCATTCTTTCTATTCTCTCTTCATAACCAATTTTCTCCATGGATAAACTTCACCCCAAGTGGGAAAAACAGTAAAGCAGCAAAAACTAAAATCTCCAAGGAAACAGTTCAGCTCAGCTTGTATGGGGTCAGTCATGCTAGGATAATTCTTTTTTATTTTATTTTTCTCCAATTTCCATTGCCAAGAGAGTTGCTGCAGTAACCTTTCTTGACACCTCACAGCTATCCCCGTTAAAAAACAAAATCAGGCTTTCGAATACAGACAGAAACGTAAAATCCAAAATGAAAACTCTGAAACCACCTGAAGTATTTAACATGTTTCCTTAAAAAAACCCTGCATCATCTTGATATGCCTTGAGTTTTAGTGGCTCTTCCTTCAGCTCCTCTCTCTAACGTTTGCGTTAAGTGATTTTGTACTCCCAGCACCCACAACATTTACACCTGGTAAATCTCAGCGCTCCAGGAAAATATTGTTATCAACATAAATAAATTATATGGAGGAAAAAAAAATAATCACATCTAAATAAAAGATGAACCTGAATCAATCCGAAATATTCTTACAGTTCAGGAGAATCTATGAACATTTTCAAACACTTTTTCAGTTTCAAGAGGTACTTGTGAAAAAAAAAAAAGAAAAAAGTTTACAAAGTTGCACCAACTTCTCTCTTGGGGTGCCAATGATGATCAAGATGTGAGGAATGAGTTTTCAACCTTCCCCTCCTGTTTTATCTCCATACAAGTACGTCTGTCTGTACGTGTTTATTCAAATTGATTTATGGAACAGATGCTGAAGGTTGTCCCACTTCTGTCCACACAATTTTTATCACAAGATGTTTTACAGAAAATTTCCTCGAGGACCAATCCATCAAATCCAGCATATCGTAATTGTTACTTTTTTCCCCAACCAGTCCAACTGTACTTCTGCAACAAATCTAATAACCCCTCCAGGGAGCCTGAAAATTCACTAAGAAGAGCTACAAAAGTGCCAAGCTCGAAACACTTTGGAGGCACGGACATCGTGCATCTCCCACAACCAGTTTCCTCCCAGAGGTTGAATTGCTGCAGTATCACAATAGGAAATACTTAACGAGCAACAGTCTCGATTTTATCTCGCGTGGGGTCTTAGCGAGTCATACACAGAGGGTGCCTATGAATTGTAAAGAAGAAATTGCTCTTGGAATTAAAAATGAATAAAAGACATCCCACAACTAACAACTGTAATAAAATATTAATATGTTTACCTACATCGTACAGAATCCCAGACTGGTGGGGGTGGGAAGGGCCTTCTGGAGCTCCCCCATCCCACCCCCCGCCAGAGCAGGGGCGCCTCCAGCAGTGGCACAGGACGGCATCCAGGCGGGTTTGGGATGGCTCCAGAGGGGGAGACTCCCCCACCTCTCTGGGCAGCCTGTGCCACTGCTCTGCCGCCCTCACAGCAGAGAAGGCCCTCCTCAGCTTGAGATGGAACTTCCTATGCTCAAAGTTTCTGCCCATCCCCTCTTGTCCTGGGCACCACTGGAAAAAAAGTCTTCCCATCCCCCTGGCACCCTCCCGTTGAGGATTTATGAGCGTTGATATGATCCCCCCCTCAGTCTTTTCTCCAGACTGAAAAGCCCCAAGTCCATCAGCCTTTCCTCATCAGAAAGATTCTCCAATCCCCTCATCATCTTCGTTGCCCTTTGCTGGACCCTCTCCAGCAGTTCCCAGTCCTTCTTGACCCGGGGAGCCCCGAACTGGACACAGTACTCCAGATGTGGCCTCCCCAGGGCAGAGCAGAGGGGGAGGATGACCT